ATTTATATAAAAGTATAGTAGGTAAATATTATGAGATTCACCTTCATCCTTTCTGCTTTAGATTATACTGTCACCAATTTGTTGGCAAATACTTTCCATTTTGGTACAATTTCTTTTTATTATTTAATCTTACGTGGTTTTTTGAGAAAAACTTCATAAAGCTAGTTCTTTAAGTAACAACAGGCTGACATACAGAAATGGAAAATATGGAAAAAAATTACTATTAGCATTTGAACTTTTCATGATTGAAACTTAATGTGATTATCTTTCTTGCCTACAGATTCCAGGCTTTCCTGATAGAAAAAGATTTGGGGGAGGAACATTAAAGAGCCTTCATTATGACTGAATTACACTCATCTGTCGGAAGAGTGAGCAAGCAGTTGCAGTTTTTCACAGCTTGCTTCTTGCTGTGTCGATTATTAATGTCTTTTAACAAAATCATCTTAAATCGCTACCCTTCAGCCTCACCCTTTAATGGAAAATGAAGGAAGTGACAACGTGGGAGGCCCAGACTTTGTCCCCATTCTCTGTCCTCACCTTTCTGTCCCTATTTATGGATTATGTAAAAGCCCTGTGGAAATATGAGATATTGTCAAAATGATGCAGTAAATGAGCACTGACGGAGTACTGCAGAGAAAATTTACCCTTGCCTGGAACTGGAGGGTTTTTTGGGTCTGTAATTTTCCCACACTCATTACTGAAGGCTTAATTAAGTACTTCAAAAATGTATCTCTATTGTTTTACTTTCTTTTGAGGGGAAAGGTTATGTTAACCGGCTCTGAATTGTCCACCCCAAACAATCTCTGTCATTTTCAAAGATGCAAAATGGTGTTATTTAATTGTCTCCACCTTCCTCACACACAGAAATGCCTAATAATAGCAACCCTTGTCTCTCTCTTCTCTCCTTTGCAAATGGCTCAGTGGCTGGAAGAGGCGGACTAATAGCTGGAGTTAAATATAAATACAGATTAATAATACATGGAAAACAGCAGTATCAGAAAGAAGAATTCTGTGAAAAATTGACAGCTCCTTCACTCTTTACATTGCAGCTGTCTGCATTGTTTTCTGTTTAGAAATAGGTATGGTGAAATCTAAGACCTGCACAAGGGCAGTAAGAGATTTATAGCCTCTTCATTTTTTTTTTTTT